AGGCGTGATACCTATAACTTATTAAAAAGTCAGTAGAACAACTGGATCTCGTCTTTCCAACTCATATCATTTATAGGTACAACATTTTCTTTCTTTCTTTTCCTTTTCTCTCTCTCTCTCTCTTGTTTTCCGTTATGTGCTGCTTTGTTTCTTTCTTCCGCTTACGCCAGTAAATATGATAGCACCTACTTTTCTAACACCTTCAAACACTGTTCAACTTTGGCTTTGCTACCGACATGCCAATATGTTGTTGTCATAATGAACTGAGATTTCCTTAATCTATGTAGAATTCTATTTATTGATAATGTACTAACTGGATGCATTACTGTAGTAAAAATGCTGAGAATTCCATTCTGTATCACAAGTACTGTTTTGGAATAAAGCAAATTATTATTATCATTATTATTATTACATACAGACCCAAAACCCAAGTATCCGGAACAGATTCTACACAATCATTGCATGAAGGTTTAAGTATGCGAGGGGGTGAGGCATTTGAATCCAGGACTGAATAATGAATATGTAAGTTAGTGATATTCTGCTGTCGATCAAAGGATGTCAGTATGTGTGCTGTACTGTTCTTATTTATGGCTTTTGGACATGTCCATTTAAAATAGAAGATATGAAAAGGATAGCTGTTTCTCACCACACCACAGAGGTTCGCATTCTATCTCTCGTGTTAGGTGGGATAATTTACTAATTAATATCGAGGTTAAACACAGTGTTAGGTAAGAAGGGAGAGTAAATCGACGAGGTTGTGAAGTTAAATGGATTGAGAAGTCTAAGACACATATTACGCATCCCAAATTATCGCCTTCCTCAACGAGCAATGCATTGTTCATTGATAAATCGTGTCATCCTGGAGAGAGTAAAAGATGAACTCCGTCCAGAACAAACTGGATTCAGGAATGGCAAACCATGTACTGATTAAATTCCAACTCTATCCATCATTATCATCGAACACAGCATAGAATGTTGGCAGTCAAACCTCTACCTCAATTTAATCGACTAATGTGAAAAAGCCTTCGATTGCGTTGAGCATGAAGTAATTTGGAAACTACTTCAACACTATGCCGTACAATGCCCTAAATCTTTATCAAACTCATTCAACAGCTGGCTGGCTATATGCTGGTGACACATGCCAGGTGATCTACAACGGAATACCTCTAATGTCCGTCAAATCTTCTCACTGCAAGAGAAAACTGGGTCAAATCAAGGGACAATAAAAGACCCGTTGACGTCGTCTTCATAGAATTCAGCAAAGCCTTTTTTGAAGTACCTCACAAAAGACTACTCATGAAGTTGGAAAGTCTTCGTATCAAAGGCAGATTCCTAAACTGGCTCAGGGAATTCCTCATAGATAAGAGGCATAAGGTTAGGATCAACTCGAAACTCTCCTCTTTGACAGCAGTACGTAGCGGAGTGACACAAGGCACGGTACTCGGACCCCTCCTATTTATTTTATATATCAATGAGTTATCTCTGCTGACCAACTCCCCTATGGTCCTATACGCAGATGACTTAAAAATTTGGAGCGAGCTGAAGAGCAACAGTGATACGTCCACGTTGCAGGAGGACCTCAAAAAATTGTCAGAGTGGTCCATAGAATGGATGCTCCCGATCAATGTGGCAAAATGTGAAACCATGCGCATTGGACAAGCAAGCACGAGCTCCTACGAACTAGAGGGAATAACACTTCCATCAGTTCAGACTAACTTGGACTTAGGTGTCATAGTTAGCTACGACTCAAAAACTACAGCACACTGTCGCGCGGTGGCTGCACGTAGTTTCAGGTCCATATGGGCAATTCGCAGAGCCTTTACTGGAATCACCAGAGATATGTTCACCTCCTTATATACATCTCTGGTGGGGTCAAGACTGGAAACCTGAATCCAGGTCGCCAGTCCTTGTCTAAAAAGGGACTCACATATCCTAGGAAGGGTTCAAAGGAAGGCAACACTTATGGTTCACGGCATGACTAACTTATCATACGAGGAAAGACTAGACAGTTTAAATCTCTTCTCCCTGTCATACCGTAGGCAGAGAGGAGATTTAATCACAATGTTTAAAATTTTAAATAATGACTACAGACCTGACCTATTCTCTCTTTTCCTTCCCACCAGGTCGGAACACCTTAGAGGACATAGCAGGAGAGTTCAAAAGCCAAGGAGAAATCATATTGCTGTTGAGTACTGGTTCTCACACCGAGTCATAAACTCTTGGAACCGATTCCCAGAAGAAGTGATGTCTGCAACCTCAACTGATTCATTCAAGAAGGGTTTGGACAACCACAGAAATTTACTAGAAAAGGATTAACATAGGCTCCAAGCCTTCTATCCCCAACCAATAAATCTGAAAATCTGAAATGAATACAAGAGTACGACAAAGCTGCCCACTTCTATCACTGACGATGATATTTCTAATTGTGGTGGACTGGATTATGCGTCAGACTGTGGGAAGATGCTGGACCAATAACGACTCTAGAAGATCTGGATTTCACTGATGATTTATGTTTAATGTGACACGAACTCTATGACTTCCAAGCGAAAACCAACAAACTGGGAGAAGAAGCAGGCAGAGAAGATAAAACTCTAGGTGAACAAAGGGAAGACGCAGGTGATGAAGATAACCAGCCAACAACAGCCAGCATCAACGGTAGAAGTTTGAAAGAGGCAACTTTCTTCACTTGTCTAGGAGACATCGTTTTAACCACAGGCGGCAGCACGGATGAAGGTGTCAAACCAGCCAGAATCGGAAAGACAAGAAACACTTTCATCAGTCTGAAATCAGTCTGGAAATCTTCTGCACTCAGTATAAACAACAAGATTCTGATTTTCAATACAAATTTCAAGTTAGTTCTTCTAAATAGGTCATGAGAAACATTTCCAGCAAGCCACTACAGACCTTTATCAACAGCTGCCTTCGCCCGCTCCATAATGAAAACCAAATGGCCAGAAAGTATTAGCTACAAGAAACTCTAGGAACAAAACTAACCAAGAACTGATTGTTCACTAAATATTCTGAAGAAAATGAAGGTGGATCGGGTATACGCTGAGGAGACCGCTGCTTGACATCGCCACCAAGTGAAACCCGAATAAGAAACAAGGAGTTGATCTGTGGTTCGAGGGTGACATGGAGGGGATCATACGAGGAGGAGATGAGAGAGCATGGACAATCGTCGGCCTAGCTAAATAGGACAGCCCTAAATAGAACAAAGTGGAGACGTGATGCTGAAGTCCTTTGTTCTACTCGGAACCCAAGGGAATAATAATAATAGCAGCATACATGCTAATTCACTTATCAGGGTAATTATTAAGCTTTAAAGCTTCTCTTATATGCCTCACTTCCTGTCTTAGATTTCCCTTGGTACTGTTTAGTTTCTGCGCCAATCGGTCGGTCGGTTTTCGACATATAACTTTGCACATATGTGCGGAAGTTCAAGTCGCCACACTACCTCCATGTAGCACACAAAACAAGAGAAGAAAGTAGAAGAAATGTATAATATAGTCAGTAAACAGAGGTGTGAGACTAAGGAATAGTAATAATAATAAATGATATGACAGTCACTTCCATCTGTGTATAGTATGGTGGCTACAAATAACTATGCCTTTGCACAATGCTTAAGTTGGCGAAATTCCTAAAACCGTAAACATATATCTGTGGTAATCGTTACAAGAAAAAAGTACACAAGTACAAGTTTCTGAAAACCTGCTTCCCGAGACTTTTGATTCACTGAAAAACAAATTACAAAACTGTTTCTCTATAAACCATAGAAAAATATTAGTTACAAGGATTACAGTCTAAGAAACAAGCAAATTGTACAGTATTGTTTCAAACAGGCCAAAGGTAGAAGCACAGGGAAATAGCTCACAAGAATAGAAATGTCTGTGAAAGGTCCAAATGTCCAAGAGGGGAAATGTCTAGACAAAATAACGACTAAATAATCACATTTTCAACAAAGCACAAAGATTATTTTGTACCAAATGCAAGTCTAATCAATATATATACATATATATGGTAGTGGTTGTGTAACCTTATTTGTTGCCATGGCTAAGAAAAGCATTAAGACATTTTATGTATAAAACCGTATGTGAAACACCACTAAAAGCTTCCAGTAAAATGAGTAAGCACATTTAACACAACACTTATGGATAGCAAAGTCAAAGAGTTATTTATTACTTGAAACAAACAACCTAAAATCCCTAAAGATAATATTATCACAATCAGTGAGGGGATATATGTCATAAGCTTACGATCTGCCCTACTTCAGACTATTTGGGAGTTCTTTGGGAGACGGAATGCCTTTGAGGATTTGTCGAACATAATATAGACCTACACACTTCCCTAACAAGATACAAATACAAAAGACTGACAATTTAAAAGTAAAAAAACACTGGTTCTACACTGTGTCATCTAAATGTAAGAAAATATAAGCTAGGTGTTTAAAAGTCATACATACACCTTTTGCTTACTTGGCTTGAATAACTATATCAAACTCGCAATACCTTGGGTGCAGAGTCAGATTCACAGTTGACAAACTGAATGGGAGGTTTATACAAGACTAAACTAATATAAACATAACATATTGATAGATGATGATACGACACACTTCCTGCAACTTTATTATTATTATTGGAAGTTCGAAACATTTATCGACCTGTTATGATACAATGCGAAGTGTTTTTGGCAAACAAATCTACTTAATACAAAATGTTATCAGTTAAGAAAAAGAGTCATTCATATACATTCAATTTTAAGATCTGTAGTTCATCTTTTCCTCTAAATGGTTCATAAGTATAAAATTTCTCTGGTGAATTCTGCAGTTATAATGAACAACTTTCCCTTCCCCCCAAAAATACCAATTTTGTACAACTAAAACCCACATAAAATCTAGAAATATTAATCGTATCTCAAAAATATCAGGGGAATAAAAAATAAAACACTAGTTAAAGTTAAGTTACATTAACAGTATAAAATTAAGATGAGTTAACAAAGCTTACCTCTGGATCTGTATATTTCTGTGTAGGTACGACATTTTCAGGCACCGGATCTGTGTTCGCATTAGTGGTTGGAACTTTGTATGTTGTCTTGGCATGATGAAATATTTTAACATTTTCAATATTATTTAACTGCTTTGCATGATATGACTGTCTGCCATTAGACACCGGGGGTTGACTAGATGTTGAACGATGATAAGGCGATTTCGAACGTTTAGTTAGTGATGTTGTACGTCTGGTTGACTTAGGTAAATGTTTCGTTTTGCTAGATGGACTTAATCCATGACTGATTGAATCATCATAGGTTGTACTCTTAGAGCGTACTCTTTTGGAAAAACGAAATTTCATTTCCTCTAGAGTTCGAGAATGATCACCGCTAGAGGATGGTGCATTCTGACGTTGGACAACAAAAGATCCAAGCTCTCGAACAGCATCCAACATTTTATCATAAGCTTCCTGATTGTTTCTAAAGTTCTAAATAAATAAAACATGAACAAGTAGGTTATATAAAGACAACAAATTCATACCTTTTTTGATAAACTTTTGTGTTTAGATGACCGGTCAACTTCCAAAATCTGAGAATACAAAATTATATCAAAATAACAACGGTACCTTGTTGACAGCTACATGCAATTTCTTAAGATGATGTTTGAAAATTTGTGACGAAGATGATTCCTGAATAAATATGATAGACAAATTCCAGAAAACTTACGCCAAGTAGCCTTGGGTTATTCGTTTGAAATCGTTGGAGTTGAGTGGATTCAGTAGCCGATTGTGGACCCAATAAATGTCCTCCAGACTCATTATTTTCTGAAGCTTCATCATTAACAACGTTATTTTCTCTTGACATATACTCTAATGACCTCAATTCAGTCTGGTGAACGAACTTTAGTTACATTTACGTTAAACAGGAATTTATTCTTACTTGGAAATCATTATCTTCTGGTTCAGGAGAGCTCATGATGAAAACATTCAAAATATATAGCAAGCACTAAACTTCGTCCAGTGAATAAACGAAGTAAACCTTTAACTTATCAAGCAATTTGACGCGTGGCTACTTCAAGCAATCCTGTCAAACTTGCCGCTCTACTAGTTTCCATGCGCTAATGATACAAGTGCTCCTGTAAAACAAAATGTTATCGTTCAAAACCAATGGCTTCATGATATCTTAGGACTACCTTTCAGTAACATTAGGCTGTCGCAAAGTATGAGACTACTACAACAGTTATCGCATAGAAGAAGTTCATTAAGAAAAATGAGAGGATAACAGAAAATTTTGAAGAAGTGGGGAAAATTAAATGAATAAAGTGATATAAGAAACAATACTGAGACAAAAAATACTGTGGAAGTGACTAGAAAATACATAGGAAGTTTGAAGTGTCTAGGTTCTCTAAAGACTTCTGTTACTGGAAGGGTGAATTCCACTCATTTTTTTGGGTTGAGTAGTGAAACTGATGCACGTCTCAGGGTTTAGACATTTTTCTAACTCACACTGCATTTCTACATTCCGAAGTCTCTTGGAAAACTTCTCAAGTAATACATACTTCTTATAACTATTCTAATCTCCTTGTCCTTGTTGCACAATGATGATTGTATTGTCTTCAGCACGTTATTGGTTGGTAGATGCCACCCCGTGATTCTTTGATTTGGTAGACAATTTGGAGGAACAATATGGAGTCCGGGAGTTCCATGAGTACCATGTTCAAGTTCCATGTGCATGTATTACAGTTTCCATTCCTTTCTTTTATCCTCTATTCCTCCTGAATGAAAACACGCAGACCAGATTTATATCCGTGCATGTGATGGTGCAGGTCAACTGTGTTTTTGTCATAATAATGGTTCTAATATCCGGATGAAAATGTATGGACCTGAGTATCGCCTGTTTTCTTCTCACTTTCCTCACATTGCTGTACAGACATAAGCAGTTGAGTCTTGGTACCTGAAATGGCTGTCCCATCTGACCGTACCTCTGAAGAATGATGAAGTGTGACTTTTCAGCATTGCAACAGTTGCAATATGTTTGGACGCCAGTGGGAAATTAGTTAGATTTGTTGGTCTCTCGAGTAAATTATGAGCATTTACTGTCCTTCCTACTCCGAATGTGAAGTTATATGGTAGAGAGATGGTTGCCACAGTTATTGTTCTGGCCAGGCTGGTGTTGTTTTGATGTAGTAGCTTAGCCTTTAGAGCTGATAACTATCGAAACACTTTTGGCTTAGTGTTCATATATATATTTATTTTTATTTATTTTTTATTTTGATTTACAGCTTGATTCCACACCGTATTTTCAGTACAAGTGTGGAATTTTCAGCATGGATATCGGTAGCCCAAATTCAGGCCGACCATAGATATCGGGTGTGCGCCGGCAGGGGATCGAACCCCGGACCATGTGCATGGTCGGCGAGAGTCCTAACCACTGTGCCACCGACAATACGATTAAATTCAGCAAGTGATATGTGACAGACAACTTAATAGGTCCGGAATCGAATGACAGATAGAGTGAATATTATCAAATCAGAGGAGTGGGTGACTTCGAATAAATTCGCGTGGAAGTCCTGGTACCTATTACATCCACTGTCTGCGGAAGGCTTCTGTGAGCAGTTTTGTTGACTGCGAGACCATAGCAGTCGACAACTGGGTTATTGGTTCTGGTTCGAGGCACGGATGTTTGTAACAGCTTGGTTCCAACATTCAATTCTGTAGTTAGTTTATTTACTTCTTATCTTCAGCACTACTGACGGTAAACTGGGAATGAAGATAGATTCCAATGTAGCTTTGTCAACTGTCGCAATTGAACACTAAATGCTTTAACTGCTAATTCTGGTGGATGAGTAATAAAACTAAGCGAGAGAATAAGAGGAAAGTAGTCCAGTAAGGGTTATACAAGTCGGTTATATATACCGACTTTGCTTACTGCATAAACCAGATTTACTTTAAATGACCAGCCGAGAATCCATTACTTTTTAGCCGGTTGAAGTGTGCATGAAGTGCACACCACTCTGATGAGGATTAGAGGGACTTAAGAATACCGTTCTCCCAGACATACAGGATCTTACTGGTTGAAGCAGAAGTCAGATGAGTATATCGTACACCTGCAGTAGAATTCAAACAGAAATGCTAGAAAGTTCTATGTCCTCATTTTTCATGCGCAGATTTTTAGCGTCCGCTGGAACTGCCACGCTTGATCACACTACTAAATACGTTCACCTGAACTATGTTTATTAAGGATAATAATATTTGCCACAGTTTCTCCGTCGGTTACTTTTTTGGTCTAACATTTCGGTTTTCTCCAAAGTCTCTACAGACATGTCAGTTTTTCTGTGCCATGGGTTGTTTGAATAAGTGGTGTTTGTTCGTGCATTTGGCAGTAAAATCAAACTACGAATTTTTGATGAATGAGCATATGAGTAAGGTGCATGATTCGGCGACCATAAATGCTATTTTAGGTCGAAACTATTGGGAAATCCATCCCGCCCTAGCGTAATAGTACACTGAAATTTTGCTAGTGCAACTTATGCAGTCGAGACCAGTTTTTATATCTTAAACTAGTGATTTTTTGGTAATGTAAAATGATTGCACAGTTGTAATGACTGAGACTTAAGTATTTCAGTGTGAATGCAGGGAATGAGATAATTTTTCGTAATTTATAAATCGTATAATCTGCTGTCTACAAGAAATTCATGTCACTTTTATAGGCACGATCAGTTATGTTATAAATTGCAATAGTTAAGTATCATAGATTAGCACTTTTCACAAGTTCACATTGTTGAATTACAGTACAAGCAATCAGAAAAGGTTCTTATAAACGTTAAATTGTAGACCCTTTACTTGGGTCAAAGTTGGGCGACAATCCAAACTGCGTTCCTTTTCCTGCTGATAGTTTTGGTCAACCAGTGAACAGCGTATATTTGGTTGAGTGCTATGCCGCCACTTGATTAAAAGCTATATCCGGAAGAGAAGAACGTCCTGTGAAGCTGCAAAATGGTATCAAATACAATTATGGATAATTCATCATTGGAAATACATTTACTAGATACATGCAAGAAGGAGGTGGAGACTCCTCAAAGTCACAGTATAAATTTGCAATGTTTGATGCTAACCATATTGGTCTGAGCATCGAAACAACGACGCTTTCGATGAAAATATAGCTTTGTTCAAACATTGGTGTTGTTGTGTTTTGAAGTTAAATAGACTTGTAGATGGCGGGAGGAAAGCATTTTGCGCAATTTATAATTTAGATCTGTACAACCCCTAATTTTTCGCAAGAATTTAGAGTAGTGTTTAATTCTCGAGCTGTCAAAAAATGAATATTGCTGTAATACAGATCGAAGTGATTCACATTTGTGACTGCTTATAAGCATGCGCCACCCTCCCCTGTTTTGATGTTAAGCTCTGAGATTCTCTTGGCAATAACTGTAGTTGGAGCGTTGGATTGCTTTTAGCCCTTCCCAGTGATACGGTATGCTGCAAATTAAATGGCTTTCATGACAAGTGCTTCCCATTAGGTCACCAGATACATCGATACTTGCGGAGTGCTTAACAATATGATTGTAAACTTTTTGTTAGATGTTGAAATTAGAAACATTGTACATGACTTTTTTGAAAATATTCATGTCCAAGTACAGATAACCTCCGAGTACAATCCGAAATACAGTGTACTGTTGGTAGCTTCGCCTTCTCACTGGTCATTACTGTCTACTTGCTCCACTAATACAGTGTTGCATACTTTGCATTTATTACAGGAACCTCTTATCCTTATCCAGAGACAACTCTACAACCGGCACACAGCTTCTACCAGTAGACACTATTCCAACAGTGAACGCTTCTGTGGATTACATTATTAATTTGTAGCAGTGGACTTTAACAGTATATCCAAGTAACCTTTTGATTAATATAACTCATTACTGCATTTTTGATAATATATTGTTAGACTATCATCCCAGTGACTTGGATTTTTTTATTCGCATACTTGCTATGTTATTGAGCTCGCTAGACCGTCCCCTACATACTTGATAATATGTTCTCTGTAGTTTTTTAAATTTTCCTGAGTTACCAACTGTCAGAATTTATATTTCAGAAATTTTAAAACATGATTTGAAGTAACAAGACCTGTTGTACTACTGATCAACAGTAAGTTGTAACAAAAATACGAAAGCTACTTCGTCAGTATTGTCCGACAACAATACAGTCAAAAAGGTTCTTCATATACAAAATACTCATTGTACTGCAGAGCCTATAATTCAAACACAGTCGTAAAATATTTCTAATAAAATAGGGTCAAAACTCCCTTTAGGAGTCAAGTAGAACAAAACATCATCCGGCAGACGTTCCCAGGGCAGTCAGTCACTGAAAGGCACAAGCTTTTATTACATAAAACGAAACCTCACTAGTAAAGCAACGTACTGTAATGCGCATTCTAGCATAGCACAGTAATAAAGTGATACATTAGGAGTAGGTATAAGTCGTAAGGGAAGATAAATAATAAGGACGAAGTCAAAAGAATATATGCGAATATTAAAACGATGATGCATAGGTCAGGGCCAGAGAATGTTGACCTCAAAGCTAGTTAAACCACCCAGATAAATACCAGTGCTGTTAACAGGCTGTCCGAGAGGGATCGTAAAATGAATCATTCTGCTGTGTCAGCCACCAGACTTCATCCATAAACTTTAAGACTCCTACAAATAGTTCATACAGTCATTTTCTCTGGATAAAGTGAGTCAGAATAGCAAATTTTATTCACTCAGTAACGTATCTACAGATATCCCTTAGGACCAGAATGTCGGTTGGACCTTAGGTGATGTTAATAACAGTAAGTCTTGTGGCAGGAAGCTGAACAGAATATATTTTTGATCTCGCAGCCATTGCCTTTTCGTTCATTTCTTATGTATATATATATTTCGTATAAATTTTGATCGGATATATGATACAAGTCTGCTGGGAACTAACCCACAAAGCAGTGCACACGAAACCCATACAAGGACACAACCAGTACCTAACAATAGGTGGAATAATAAACTATGGTCTTCACAAGGTCCCAATCATTTCTTATCCCCTGCGTCCCTGTCAGCGTTGAAAAAACAGCTGGTAGGGATGTTAACACTACTAAACGACTA